GCAGTGAGGAGACAAGGTACTTTCAAAGCTGGAGGAGGGGGAAACAAAGGCTCTCTCGGTCTGTGTGTTGCTTTTTGCCAGGACCGGAGCAGGAGTGCAGGTCAGAACTCCTGTAAAGGGCTAATAAGCAATCTAGTGAGATTCTGTTTTGTTTAAATGGCTGAGAAAATAAGCTGTCCTGAATGGAATGGATATTCCTGTTTTTGTGTCTTTTTGTACCGTAAGGTTTTGCCTCGAGGGATTCTCTCTGTTTTGAATCGGATTACCCTGTAAGGTATTTACCACCCGGATTTTACAGAGGTGATTCTTTTACTTTTTCTTCAATGAAAATTCTTCTTTGAAGAACCTGATTGCTTTTTCATTGTTCTTAAGATCCAAGGGTTTGGCTCTGTGGTCACCTATGCAAATTGGGGAGGATTTTTATCAAACCTTCCCCAGGAAAGGAGATTGTAAGATTTGGGAGGATTTTGGGGGGAAAGACGTTTCCAAACGGGCTCTTTCCCAGTAACCGGTGTTAGACGTTTGGCGGTGGCAGTGATAAAGTCCAAGGGCAAAAGGTAAAATAGTTTGTACCTTGGGGAAGTTTTAAGCTAAGCTGGTGAAAGTAAGCTTAGGAGGTTTTCATGCAGGTCCCCACATCTGTACCCCAGCGTTCAGAGTGGGAAAGGAACCTTGACAGGGTGCAAGGACATATGGGGGTGCAGGACCACATGGGGATGGGGCAGATGTGCCTGAATGGGAGTGGCTAGGGGGCAGCCAGGGTCTGCATGGGGGAGGCTCCCTAGCAATCCCTTCCCTCCCCCCAAAGAAAACCTGTTCCAGACTTTCCCCCACCCAAACCCAACAAACCTCCAACTTCACACCCAGGCTCCTTCCCTGCAATTTACTCCCCGCAGCCTTTGCCCTGCTTCTGAGGGGGGCAGGGAACACCGTTCTGTACTGTAGTTTAAATGAATTGTTACTCAAAGCTCTGTATTTATATGGCCCGTAAGGAATCGATTTGTCAAAAAAGCATTTCCTGAATCTTTCCTGTTGGCTGTACTCTTACAGAAACACTTGCTGACGGGTACTGTGCAATAAATGACCAAAAATAATTGAAACTGGTGTGATTAGATCGTGTTATTTTTGACAGATAAAAGATGCAAAATTTGAAACTAGGGTGCGCAGAATTGTTACTTTTGGGGGCGCAGAATTCCCCCGGGAGTAATTGGGGCATTTGGGTTTTCTTCCCTAAATATAGCACCGTCCAGTGGTCTTTGTCCAACTTCAGTTTGGCCCAGTTCTATCCAGATCCCTCTGAATTTTAGCTCCGTCCTCCAAAAAAGTGTTGGCAACACCCCTGTGACGAGTTGGGGCACAGAAACCCCCTTGGGAGCTGCCTCCTGACGTGCTGGGACTACCCCTGAGCCCGTTTTCCCTGCCAGCGTGGGACTTCCACGCCCTGTCTTGTCGAGCCAGACCCGCCCGCCTGCTGCAAACACAGGCCCAGGTCTGAACCACGTCCCGCACCCGCTGCAGGCTGAACTGAAAACAGCTTAAGAAATGCTCCAGTCGCCAGCACCCAGATACCCAGCTCCCAATGGGGTCCCCAAATAAATCTGTTTTACTCGGTATCAAGCTTTGATGGGGTAAACTCATAAATTGTTTGCCCTCTATAACACTGATAGAGAGAGATGCACGGCTGTTTGCTCCCCTGGGTATTAATACATGCTCTGGGTTAATTAATAAGTAAAAAGTGATTTTATTAAATACACAAAGTGGGATTTCAGTGGTTCCAAGTAATGACACACAGAACAAAGTAAATTACTGTCATAAATATCAAGGGAAGGGTAAACACCTTTAAAATCCCTCCTGGCCAGAGGAAAAATCCTCTCACCTGTAAAGGGTTAAGAAGCTCGGATAACCTCGCTGGCTCCTGACCCAAATGACCAATGAGGAGACAAGATACTTTCAAAGTTGGGGGCAGGGGGGAGAAACAAAGGTTCTCTCTGTCTGTGTGATGCTTTTTCCAGGAACAGAAAAGGAATTTGAACTTAGTAGGTAATCTAGCTAGATATGCGTTAGATTCTGTTTGTTTAAATGGCTGATAAAATTCGCTGTGCTGAATGGAATGTAGATTCCTGTTTTTGTGTCCTTGGGTAACTTAAGGTTTTGCCTCGAGGGATTCTCTCTGTTTTGAATCGGATTACCCTGTAAGGTATTTACCACCCGGATTTTACAGAGGTGATTCTTTTACTTTATTTCTTCAATTAAAATTCTTCTTTTAAGATCCTGATTGCTTTTTCCTTGTTCTTAAGATCCAAGGGTTTGGGTCTGTGGTCACCTATGCAAATTGGTGAGGATTTTTATCAAGCCTTCCCCAGGAAAGGGGGTGTAGGGTTTGGGGAGGATTTTGGGGGGAAAGACGTTTCCAAGTGGGCTCTTTCCCGGTTATATATTTGTTAGACGCTTGGTGGTGGCAGCAATAAAGTCCAAGGGCAAAAGCTAAATAGTTTGTACCTTGGGGAAGTTTTAATCTAAGCTGGTAAAAATAAGCTTAGGGGGTTTTCATGCAGGTCCCCACATCTGTACCCTAGAGTTCAGAGTGGGGAAGGAACCTTGACAATCCCCAAGCAAAATAAAACAAAAACACGCAAGTCTAAGCCTAATACAGTAGGAAACTAAATGCAGGTAAATCTCACCCTCAGAGATGTCCCAATAAGCTTCTTTCACAGACTAGACTCCTTCCTAGTCTGGGCCCAGTCCTTCCCCTGGTACGGTCCTTGTTCCAGCTCAGGTGGTAACTTGGGGATTTCTCATGACTGCAGCCCCCTTTGTTCTGTTCCATGCCCTTTTATAACTTTGGCCCAAGGCGGGAATCCTTTGTCTTTCCCTCTGGGTCCCCACCCCCTCCTTCTAAGTAGAAAAGCCCCAGGTTTAAGATGGATTCCAGTACCAGGGGACATGGTCACATGTCCTGTGAGACCCCCAAGCCTTCATTTTTCCCGGCCTGACTCACAGGAAGGCCTGCAAGCAAACAGCCATCCACAGTCAATTGTCCTGGTCAATGGGAGCCATCAAGATTCCCAACCACCATTAATGGCCCACATTTTGCATAATTACAATAGGCCCTCAGAGTTGTATTTCGTATTTCTAGTTTCAGATACAAGAGTGATACATTCATACAACTAGGATGACCACACTCAGTAGATCATAAGCTTTGTCATGAGACCTTACAAGAGACCTTTTGCATGAAGCATGTTCCAGTGACGTTATATTCACACTCATTAGCATATTTTCATAACATCATATGGAGTGCAACGTCACACCCCGCCTCATCCCCATCCCGCCCCAGCTTTGTGTCGTCTGCAAACTTGGTAAGGACGCTCTTGAGTCCTGCAGCTAAGTCGTTCATATTTGGTTTTCTTTTTCTTCGCTCTTTGTCGAGCTGTCGAAGGCAATTCTTTCTCCCCGGGCGTGTCTGTGTGGGGTGAAATCACCAGTTCACCGATGCTTGCTGTTCACAATGGCATCTGCCATGCATCGCTCAAGATTCGTTCGGGTGGGTTTGGCCAATGTGGCTGTGACAAAGTGGGGATTTTCCCTTGTTATGTTGTGCGTGTCCTGCTGTTTCGCGTGGATGCTCTGTGTGCCTCAGTTTCCCTGTGTATTGCATCAATGTCTAGGTGGTGGGAATAAGCATGTGTGACTTTGGCAGAGGCTGCTCCAGCTGCCTGCAGGGATGCTGTGGCCGCCCTTTCATCACCTGAGACCCAGGAGGGGGATGTGACCAGGTGACTCTTGGCCCAGGAAACAGAGACAAAGGACGGAGGAGCAGCAACGGGCCAGGCAGCTGGAAGGAGTCAGTCTCGGCTGGCTTGGGGCGCAGGGGGAGGGCAGAGTCCTGGCTCTGGGCTCCCCTCCCCCAAGATGGATTTGGCTGAAAGTCCCTGATTTCTGTGCTAACAAGCTCCGAGAGAGTGGACTTCCCCAGAGTCCTGCCTGGCTTTGTAGGGAGCAGGTCCAGAGCATTGCCTGGGGACGCCGTGACACCACTCCACCCCAGAGGCCGCATCCCCAGCCAGATCCCTCACCCCCCCACCCCAATCCTCTGCCCCACCCTGAGCCCCCTCCTGCACCGTGAACCCCTCATCCCAGGCCTCATCCCACAGCCTTCACCCCCGCACCTGACCCTCTGCCCCAGCCTTGAGCCCTCTTTTGCACCCCAACCCCCTGTCCCAGTCCAGACCCCCGCACCCTAACTCCCTCCCGGAGCCCATCCCCCCCACATCCCCTCCTCCTGCCCCAGCCCAGACCCTGCACCCAAACTCCTTCCCAGAACCCACCCCCCACACCTCCACCTCCTGTCCCAGCCCAGACCTCACACCCCAACTCCCTCCCAGAACCTTCCCCTGGCACCCCAACTCCCTCCCAGAGCCCGTTCCCCCACA